AAACTGATAAACTCTTTACCCATTAAATCATTAATCAAAAGCTTTATCAGGTTTGATGTAATGAATAAACTCAAACGTTTTAACAGCTTATTTAAGATTCTACAATGAATTTCTTCATAAATCTATTTAAAAACTGTGGTGAAGCAAAGATGCTTAACTCTTTAACAAAAATGAGAAGGAAATGAAAGATTAAGAAGGCCATCTGTTACTCCACAGTTATGCTGCAACTTTGAGGTTTTCCTGTCAGAAAGATCCAATGTACTGTATTAAAATAACCTACTTCTCTTGCGAGCATGAGACACAAAAATGAGGGTCCATTAAATGTTCTGCTCAGTCTTTACTTAAATCAACGGATCCTTTCAGCAATAATGGCCACCTTGTTTTGATGGGTTTATTTCGAACTTGCTTTTAAAAATTTATCAGCAATGTTCTTCTGGCAAGCAACCAAGTCCCTGTAGCACCTCTAGTCTTTTACATTCATTCTGTCTGAGATGCAACCTTTTGTAATTGTCAATGGTATCAAAGATGCCTCTGGCCTTACTTGATAAACTGTGTGCTTCACGCCAGCCATGACTAGAGTCATCCCTCTTTTGGAGTCACAATATCCTGTTTTTATAGAAAACGAATCAGAGCCACAATACTCTTTTAATAATTTCAATCTCTTCATGCAATTACATTCATTCATTTTGACCTTGTATAACCATTTTTGTACTATTTCCACTACTGTGTCTTAAAGTGGTTACAGTATACTGTACTGTATAGAATAAAACAAATCAGAGAAATGGCTCTTTAAATGTAATTTGTTAGTAAAGAAAATACTAATGAAGTAGTTTTTGGCTCCAAAAACATTGTCAAGGTGAAGAGCTAAGGTAGGCAAAAATTCAAGACAATGGCCTCTATTATTTATCTGATTAGCAAAAATATTGTCCAGTTAAGCGGAGTCAAAATGAATTTTGGAATTAATGTAATTGAACAACCAACCTTAACAGTGTATGACTTCCATTTCAGTCTTAAGTCATTTGAGTGTTTGATGTTTCTCCCTCTTTATTTTCTTTCTATCAATCTGAAAGACATAAAATATTCATTGAAGCACCGTCAGACCAAGACGTTTACATTAGAAACCCTCAGAGTATAGCCAGAAAGAAAACAACCTACTGGATGTCTGAAAGCAGAAGATCCCTTAAGGTTGACAATATTCCTGGACTCAAGTCATCATCTCATTTTCACTGGTATGTTCAAGTACAATATTAACCTTCCCTTAGTCTTAATTGTTTATTAATAAACCTTGAACTAACCATGTAAGTCAATGGAGAACATATTGTAATTTATAATATACTGCCTGGAGGGTATACATGTATTACTGCAGAGATTTTTACTGGAGCAATCTAAGTGAAGTACCTTGCGGGTACAAAGTCAATGCCCCACATGGGATTTGAGCCCATCAGCTTTCAATTACAAGCCCAGAGCCCTAACCACTAATGCACTGTGCTACCCACTCCATGCAGATAATTTCTTTATCCAAGTCAAAAGCTAGATACATAAAAGTTATTTAATAAAGCCTGGAAGATTTCCTTTTTGCTCCTGAAAATCAGAACATCATAACATAGACATAAGAACACATAAGAATATAAACAGCTTTACTTTTTTTTTCTTTTTACTAGCTACATATTTTTTCTTTCTTACTTAAATCACCACCATTGGCGCTGTCACACACAAGCGGTTTTGAAACAGAGCGCGGGCTTTGGAAAGTGTCCATTCCCACTCTCTGGTTGTGCCAAGACAGTGAATTTGGCAGAAACCCCAGTGCCGATGTAGACAACAAACCATGCGGTTGATTTGTCTTACCATGCTGTTATAAACACTCCACAGAGGATCCTCGGTGTGGTGAGACAGGAAGCCACCAGACTCAGCGGTTTGGAGTTCAATGAGCAGACATCACTCATGAGGGAGAGATGGAATTTTCTGAGACCACATGTTTTGCAAAAAGTTCCAATAAAGCTTTTTAAAATAAAACGTATACTATTTTTTTTCTGTAAAGTCTTAACAAATCAAAATACATACTGTACAGTGGTTACTAGGAGGCTAACTGCATGGAACTTGCGATTATAGTGGCCTTCAGCACCCAAATCTGAGAGCTCAGGAGTGAGCAATGCATTCTTCCTTCTGCCTTAACCATACATTTAGACAAAACTGTATGATTCCTCTTTTTAAACCTTGACTCACAGTCTTACAGCCAGACCAATTACATAAAGAATCTGCAATTAAAAAATTGCAGGTTTAGACTGATACAGAGGTATAATCCTACTGAAGTACCTTCAATTGAACAAATTATAAATTATAGGTTTATTCCATGCTGAATAAAAGAAGAAAGAGAACACAACGTTTCGGCCGTGGAGCCTTCTTCAGGTGTGAGAGAGACAGGGCAGTAGGCAAAGGTAAAGAATCGGGAGAACAAAGGTTGGGAGGAAGGAGGAGTGAGAGGCGGGAGCGGGGGACAGAAAGAGAGGCCCATCATTAAATATGTGTATAAATTACACATATTTAATGGTTTGAATATGAAGGTCAGATTCTGAAATAAGGTGAAACCAACTGCCTTAATTTTTTAATTAATCTTCACGTTCTTCTTCGTCTGCACCAAATCTCTTCCACTGCAGGAGACCTACTAAGTACTTATCATCAAATGACTGAACACAGTGAACAGGCCCATGATGTCAGAATTTAATTCACTCGAACACACTCATGAACACGTTTGTATAACTGTGTCATGAAAATAGCAATAAGAAACACATCTACATTATGAGGGATGCATGAAAATTACTGAGCAAGGAGTTGAGGAGTTTTTAAGCAAAATACTGTATATTTCAATGCTGTTGACAGAGCTATAGCTGTGCACACTGTTTACTTTTAAATCATGGGATGTAACTATTGAAGAACAATTGCATATAAAAGTCTTGATAGTTTTCTTATTAGATATTAGATCACTTCTAACGAGGGTATAGTTGCTGTTCGCCTGAAGAACTGTTACAAAAGCAGGTAGTATACTATTATGTTTAGTATGAACTGGATAAAAAGATTATTTTTAAGATACTACCTAAGGTATTATTTGGGTGATACCTATAACAGATAAATCTTTTCTATTTCCCAGACAAACAAGCTCTCCACATTGTACAATCTGCATTGCAACAGTATGAAAAATTGAAAATGCAGAGGAAGGAGCTGTGAACAAAATACAATCCATTTCCGTAAAATGTTCTTGGGGAGCCCTGCAAATGAGCACCGGCTAGAAAAAGATAATTAGAGGAAATGTCAGTGACTGCTTTAGCTTACAGCAATAATCTTGAAATAATTCAAGGTTTTATTGATTTGTTAATCCAACTGATTGGCAATGATTTCAGACCATTATATAAATATGGATTACAAATGTTTCGTGAAGACTAATCCTTGTTTTTCGAGTTTGGCAACAATAATACATCTGTTGACCTGTGCAGCTACTCACAATAAAATATGGCTTTACATTCATTATCATTCATTCATCATTTCCAAGATATGTAACTTTTTAAAAAAACTGTGGAAAAACTTGAATTGTTTTTAAAATGTTAAAAATAAAATGGATTAATTGAGTAATGTTCACAAACTTTAAAATGGATTAGAATAAATCACAAAACCAAGATGTTTTATTTTAACTGCAGGGTGTATGTCAGATATCAGCTCAATTTCTGTTGCTCCAGCTACATGTTTTTTTCCACATCTGAACTGGCAGAGCTGCTGTTAATGTTTATTTATACAGTATTTAGCATTCTTTTACTTATTTTGGAGTCAAATGCTTTTTTATACAATATTTTTTTCAGATCCTATCTAATAATGGAAAATCAGATGACTTGCTGCCAATCTTTCTTGTTTCTTCTAAGAGCTCACCTTTTCTTATTATCATTGTTCCCTCTGGAAAATTATTATGCAGTGCTCGCAAGTCAATAACAACACTGCTAATTAATAAAAGTAATGCTGGAAGCAGCTATAAACAGTGTCCTCTGCTGGGTGCAATGAGTATAAATATATATTTTTATTTTCCCAGCTTTTAATGGAAATCAGCCAAACGCTGTTGATTAAAAAATAGAATAATTTCAAACTGAATTTAAGATACGCTGACATAAAAATACGTTTATTTATATTTAAGATTCATTTTAAAAAAATCTCAAAACCAACTATTATCCATTACTGAACAGAATTTAGAAATCATTGTTCTAACAGTAATACTTAGAATAGTAGTTATCATTTGTAGTTGTGCAGTCATTGGGCTGTATTAACACAATGCCATTTTGACAATACTGTGTTAAAACACCTCCACCATGTCTCTGAAGAGCATATAAAGTACATTACCACAAGGGGGCAGTGTTACCCAATAAATAAATGCTTAAAGAAAGGGAGGCTCAGCAGCGTGCTTGTGTCACCTCACTGGACCACCTTCTATTTAGAATTTTAATGTTCTGCCCATTGTTGTGCAAGTGTTCTCCAGGTGCTCTGGTTTCCTTCTACCCAACAAAGACATGCTGGCAAGTCTCGTGTGTCCCCTTTGAAGGACTGGTATCCTGGTCAGGGTGTAGTTCTGCCCTGCACCCTATATAACCCTTACCAGGAATAAGATAAGATAAGATCACTTTACTGGCCATATACAATTTCTTGTATTAGGAAATTGTCTTTTCACATACCCCAACTTGCTCTCCATGAGACACACAGACAGAGAGAGAAGCTTGGGGTCAGAGCACAGGGTCGGCCATTTATATGGCACCCCTGGAGCAGCTGGGCTCAGGGGCCCAACGGAGTAGGATTCCTCTGCCGGCCACGGGATACGAACCCATAACCTTTCAGCCACAGGTGCAGATCCTTAGCCACAGACCCACCACACCTCCCCCATAAGCAGCAGTTTAATATGTTTATCAACCTTACGACCTCTTGTCTTATGCTTTCATGAACGATTTTCTGTATAAAACAGGCAACAGCAGTGGCAATAAATATTTTATTTTAACCACAAAAATATATGAGGCATTTTTCTATACAGTTAACCATGTATTCACTCATTGTGAATACAGTCATTGTGCAAGGTCTCAGTTGCCGAATCCATGTTCTTTTGATAAGATTTCACATTCATATGCTGTTATCTTTAAAATAAAACTAAAATAGATGGCACAGTTTCAAATAGTATTTCTGAAAGACTACAACAAATAACAGGATAATATATATTCACCCATTTTAGATTGTCTAAACAAATGATGAATTAATAAGCAGCGATTTGATTGCAGTCTGCATCACAGTTCCCCCACAGTAATAGCATGCTTATTTTAACATAACTTAGTAACTGCTTGTTGTGTTGGATTCAGAAACATTCACGTGCTTTTGAAACATCATCATTTGAAGTTCCGCCAAGTACAGAGACTGGCCAGCAAATAACCTATTAAAAAAACTGTCATCAAAGCATCACAATGCATTCTTGCTGAAGCATTTCTGCACTGGCTTTTCAGAGCATCTCTGAAAACCACATTTCCGACAGTTTACATATACTTCAGCTACATGTTTTTTTTCTGACGGCACTAACACAAGATGTGAGGAAAACCTTTAACTATGTGTCAAGTATCCCAGAGACTCAAGAAATCCCAACAGTTGACATGTTCTTCACAGCCCCTTCAACTCATTGGCACCCACATTTTGATGTAACTTAAAACACAGACATGTTTTGTATCCTCTCGTGAAGGAATAATTGAAGTATTTTCATCTTTGTTGAGTCCATGAATGTCTGATGCTTGAGGAAATCTATTGAGCTTTGGCTTTCAGAATTTTATTGGACGATGTTTGGAACTGAGGCATGTACAAAGGGATATTCTTTGCAGGCACATCTTTCTTGTTCACTTTTACATTCAGAAAAGAATGGCAGCCTAATAAAGGATTTGATTCTTGCATAATCTCATCTCTGTCTTGAGAAGGCACATGAGAATTTTCCATTAGGAAACTTTCTTTCTCCTCTTCCCCATTTTCCTCATCATTAGAAGCCACACCAACGTAGTATAGATCATTTCCTGTGCACATTTCATCAAGAACATAGTCATCCTGATCAGACGTTTCTGAAAGCTCTTCTGTAGAATTAAAGGAGCAGATATTTCTAGGATTTTCTTGTGCTGAATTCTTACAAGATTGATTTTCAACATCCCACAGATTGTTGGGAAAGGATCCTGAAATGTCAGAGTTGTTTGCAGAAAAATTGCCCTCATCAGAAGAACTGCTGATACTTTTCTGTTGTTTGTAGAGATGGATGGGCACATCAGGAAGTAACACTGTTGCATACTGTATTATGGACTGTGCTGATCTCTCTGGGGTAGTGGAGTGCATAGACCTTTCTTGGACTAAGGATTCCTCATTGTACTGGCAAGCAGAATGGGTAGAGTCCTCGTCCAGTTCCTGTTTTTTGCCCAGGGATGCATCTGAGGTAGTTTGTTCCTGTGAACCCAGTTTCATCTTCTCTAGAATCACAGCCTCAGAAATGGTTTCAGATTCCAAGAGAAGAGGACATGATGTTACTCTCTTTGGGTGTTTAAAGAGATTCTCTATGGTTTCTGCCTAAAATTGCAAAGTAAAGCACAATCTTTATATATATATTTTAAGCCAATCCAGTTCACTTCATACATGCTTTCTATATGATGCCTTAGTACACAAATTTAAGCAATATGCTGTTTCTCTTTTGTATAAATGGAACAAAGGGAAAAGGGCTTTTAGAGACCCTGACCTTGTGAGATTTACAGCAGCACTTTAAATGTGTACATTTTAATTGATTTATAATACAAGTATCGGTTCTGCTCAGTATGGCACAAATCAGTGGTGCATCCTACAGCTTATTACAAGCACAAGTACAGTGCAAAGTGTGGTTATAATAAGTAATATATTACACAATACAATATTATGCAACAAATACACATAATATACTAGAGCAACTCACCCTTTTAAAATCAACTCCTTGTGCCCAGGAGCAGTTATTAGGATTAGGAACATCTTTCCAAACCAGCTTCTTCATTCTAGGAAATTTAAATAATATTATGTTCAGAAAAACAAATAAGTTAGTATGGATTAAGAATAAAAGCAGCTTTACATCTGACAGGAAATCGAGAACATGATTTGAAATTATCTGAGCACTAACTCTACCATGTTGTCTACAAGAGCAAACCGATCAATAGATCAGCCGACCTTTAAAGGACACCCTGCTCCATATTCTTCTACCAGTTAAAATGCCAATAATCAGTGCAAAAACAAGACAATGTTTCATCCTTCACTGGACACAAGAAAGTTATTACACTTCTACCATAAGGCAGGTACAGACGTCTATCTGCTGTAAAGACTACATAAGAAGCAAGAGGCTCCATACACATCTATTTTACACTTCACACTTTTTTTTTACAGATTACCAGTGAAGCTAGAGAGCATGATCCAAAATGGATTTACCATTTACCTTTGTAGCTATTTTAATGACCCTAGTAGGATGTTCAGAGCTTGATTAACATAAGTTACCTCTATTTCTTCACCTTCAGGGCTTGTTTATTTTCCTCCCTGACTCCTTGCCATGGAAGGAACTACCTCTTCAAATCAGAACTGCACCATCCCTCACCCCCTCTTGACATTTCCTCAAGCCTCTGCTGTTTAGACAGCAACTGTGATCTCTCTCACTGCTGCTGCTGAGAGCTTTTGCTATCAAGCGACACTATTGCTCAATTGGTTGTACCTTGTTTACTGTAATCAGACACGTCTAGCTACATGTTGTTTACATAAGAACATTTAGTTTACAACCACGAGGAGGCCATTTTTTTCTTAATAAATTCAAACTCTACAAAACCTCTACGTACTGATGCTGAGAGACTGCAAGTGTCACAAACAGCACAACAGACAGAAATGCAATAAGGAGAAGAAGAATGTAAGCAGCCTGCTCTCCTTTGGGTTTCCTCTTGTCCTCTGCAAAAAAGAAAAATAACACCAGAAAACACGAATGACGTAAACAAAATGGATTCAGACTTCAGGAAGCAATTCAAAATTAAAGTAAACAAGCCTTGCCTCTACTATAGATGGGTTCCCCTTCTCCTTCCAGAAATATTGGATACAAAATAAACAGGTATTCCTCAGAAAGGAAGAAAGTGTCTGGAAAAGGTAAAACAAATAGCGCAAACTAAGTGACCCATGGAAGAAATGTAAAAACCAAAAAGTGCCGAGCACACTTCATGTTTACTGCCACTATTTTTATGATCTGCCTTCACTGCATTAGTTGCCACTAGAGGGGGCACATGAACCTTCTTCGGGTAAAATCTAAACATTAGGGAAAGATCTGTGTACGTCTAGGAAGCTGGTTTCAGACGTTTACCATTTTCCACCACTGCTAAGCATTACATAATATAGGTGTACAACAAGTTTTAACTAAGACCAAATACATTATGCATACAGAGCACATCGCTTTGCATGTATGATTTTGGACAAAGTATATCGATTTTAGAAACTGATTTTTCTTACAGTGTCATTTTTATTTATCAATCACTCGTGATTGAGAGTGATACAGTACACAAGTGTTCATAAGTATTACATAAGCTCTGAATCACCTTATTAGTGGGAGGCCCTGTCCTCTTTAGTTACGAATCAAGATTTTTAGCAGATCACCTCGATGGACATCCGCCACTGTGACACCCAGCGCAGATACACTAACTGTGCACAACAGACCCATCGCCAGTGTGGTGGTCTTGGCAGGAGTCTCTAGTCACACAGAACTCCACTTTTAGTGACTGATGACAACCTGACTGCAACACTACACTGAGCAAGTCTTGGGATCTCACCGATGCTCATCTGGATGTGACAGTATTTAAGCCCCATGCTACATGTACTGTAGGAGTGGTGGCACTGTGGCTAAGGATCTGCGCCTGTGACTGGAAGGTTACCAGTTCAAATCCAATCCTACTCCATTGTGCCCCTGAGCAAGGCCCTTAACCCCAGCTGCTCCAGGGGCGCCGTATAAATGGCTGACCCTGCGCTCTGACCCCAAGCTTCTCTCTCCCTGTCTGTGTGTCTCATGGAGAGCAAGCTGGAGTATGCAAAAAGACAAATTCCTAATGCAAGAAATTATATATGGCCAATAAAGTGATCCCTCTCTTGTATCACAGCAGCATTCTTGCAAGCTGAGAATGTGGCAGTGATACAGTTATGCCTAAACACCTCTGCAATGAGCAGGGATAATATGTTCAGAGATCAGTGAAGAGGCACATGCTTATCCAAACTGCACAAGAACAATGCAACAGAGTCCCACAAACGACAATCTACAAACTGGTGAAAATCATGCATCACAGACATCCCAGCAGTAACCACACACACAATACTAGCCTGTGACCTTCACAGCAGACCTACTATTGATTAGAAATGTTAGTCAGCACATTGAACATCATGTCCATTCAGCTATATCAGGTTGTGTGCCACAAAGACTGACATATTTTGTATAATAAATATATAATACATTTCTGAATTTGTTGCTACTATAATTGATTTATATATTGATTTTTATTGATGCTCAGAATGTTCACGAAATGCATATTTATCTGAAACATGTCAGTGGAAATCTATGAACAAGATGCATCTGCAATACAAACACCAATGACGTAACAGAAAACTACAGTTATATGTTCAAATGAAACTGAATGAAGATGCTCTGTTGGTGTTGGTTTTAAAATTTAATTCAATTTGGACACACGACCTCTGCATAAATAGAATCCAGGAAACGTACCATATAAATAAAAGGTGTGTATCTTTGGAGGTGCTCGAACCCACTTAACGACTTCATCTGTGTTTTGTAGCTGTTTCTCCCTGTTTTGAAGTTTCCACTCGATAATGAAAGACTCGGGAAGAGAGCGGTTTGGAAGCAGGTTCCACGAAAGTGCCACACAACTGCTGTTTACCATTGCACAGCTGAACGACTGAACAGTCTGTACTGTGGGTAGAAAGGAAAGTTAATAATGTAAGCTATTATTAAATGTGTTAAAAGGAATCGTCATTAATAGTAGAAGACCCACAAATATAAAAACCTGCTCTGTGCCCAATTTAATATTTTGAAGGACATCTATATCTCCAATTAAGGTTGAGTGCTAGAATCATTTTTAGTACAATGTATAGATTAGTGCTATTTACAAACAATAACGTGCTTCCATTAGACCCATTAGCCATTAATGGTACTAATGGAAGATATAAAATGGAACTTTTTTTTTGCTAGATACGCAAGTTGTCTTCAATTTTAGCTTTAGAAAGAGACAGCAGACCAAAGACACTAACAATTTTATCTTCCTTTCCCATTACATTATGGGTAATCTCCGGGTAAAATGAAAATACTGACCTAAAACTTACTCAGTTCAATAAATTTATGTTGATAACACGAAGTGCAGTTCTTTTTTTTTTCTTAAAAAAAATGCCTTGTTAAATTAATAAATTATCTCAACCACTCACTTATATGAACCATATGGATTCCAAAGCTAAATAACATGAACTGACACGGTAAAACTGAATAAAATAGCAAATGAACTATGTCTCACTCCTGTTATTTACCTTTTCTTGTGTGCCTTGTGAATGTTAAATTATAGTTCATCACAGAAGAGCCAACTGAGTTGAAGGCCAGGACTGACACACTGTGAACATCTTCAATCCAGGGAAAACTGTATGTTGTGGTGATATTCAGATACTCATACCGTAGCACATCACTTGATGTTTGATGCTGAACAATTAACCCATCCACAGAACAAAAGAGGTCTTCCTTTCTCAGTGGCTGAACGTAGGGGAAAATACAAATTAAAAGCCATTAGAAATTTGGTGCCATGTAAATTGGATATGGTGCAGTGCATTAAACTTCCAAAGTGTCTTAAATAGCCAGCATTCTTAAAAGTTTCTTACCTTAATTAGAAGAGTAACATTAGTTTGCTTCATTGCTGGATCCTCACGAATCATTCTCCAAAAGTCAGGTCCCTGTTCAGGAGCTGAATCAGATCAAACAAAATCCAGATCACTAAATAGTAAATATTATTATTAAACCTTCTTAGTAGACCACAGCAAAATAGCCCTACCAACAATGCTTAAACTCTCAATTTTGAATAAAAACAAAAATCTCAATTTATTATGCCAAATGAACACTACTGTATAGATATATTCAAAGTCTGGGTTATTTTTAAGGTAAATGATGCAAACTAAATTCAAATATAGTAACATATCTAAATGTAAGTGTATTTAGGTTATTCAGAAATAATTTCTGAACATGGTAGTTTGTCTATAATCTATAATGCAAGAAACTTACTTTTTGTAAGGGTTTCAATAATACCTCTTAGTGATTTAGGAGATTACAGGAGTCAATATATTTTTCCAAGGAGTCTGGGTTCATATCCATCAAGATACTTCCCATATTATACTAATACTAACTTTAAAAAGCACCTTTATTAAATTTACCTTGAATATCATGAACAACAGTGTACACAGGGCTGCTCCATGTGCTCCAGTGTCCAGGTCCATTGAACCTTTTGCAGCGAATCTGAACCGTGTATACAACACATGGATCGGCCACCTGAGTCACAACTGTCTCATTATATACTGTTCTGAGAAGCTGCAAACAACACAGACAATGCAGATGCCTGTAAGAATGAATTTGAGCTGCTTTGAAGGATGAGAAACCATGTGCACATCTACCTTCTAATCACAGAATGCAAGTACCCAAGTGCCTGCGGCGGTGCAGTACTGTTTTTGACAAATCAAAATAAAATTCTGAAAGCTTAAATTGATGGCTTGTTAAAAAAGGCCACCTCGTGTTATCCAATATTAATTTACACAAAAAAATGGCCTCCCCTGCTGAGAAAAATAATTCTGTTTCTGTTTCAAAAGGAGACAAAACAAGGCTATGAGGCAATTCTAGGTTGTGTAGCAGAACCAGAATTACTATGCCTCTTGCATGATAGAATTGCAGTACTGCTGTATAATTGGACTAACATCTTGATGCCAGAACCGACAAGAATACTGAACTTGTTGGGGGCAGAAAACAGTTTGTTAAATCTGAGCAATCTTGGTAAAGAGCACAACACTGAAGATCCAGTTCAAATGAACTAATACAATGACCTTCACGTCACAGTTTATTACCCATGGGTAAATCCTAAAAGCACACCTTCCACTGCTTATTCGGCCCATCTACAGCATAGCGGATCTCAAACTGAAGATCATAAACTGGCAATTCCGTCCTTTGCCAGCTGATACTCAGATGTCCCTCTGGAACTGTGATCTCAGCCTCAAGGTTGAGGGGAGGATGTGGCTTTACTAGCAAAAAACAAAGCAGACAGAATTTGTACTACTATTGCTCATCAGTTTGATGATCTTTTAATGTAGGTAATTTATTAATCAAGCAAGACATTACTTCCTACTCTTTACTAATGTTATTCTTACTTTAATGTGCACCCTCATTTACCATAATGCAAAACAAGCTGGCATAACCTTTGAAAGAGCAACAAAAAATAGGATGCAAGTCGGAATAGTGGGAGAATATAAAATGGATAACAAAATGTGTCCACAAAATTACAGTCACTGCTTTATTTACAGCTTCCTTGCTCACCAACATCCATTGGGGTGACATAGGTGGGGCGTGATTTCACAGGGCCAAGCTCATGGTGAATCTCCAGCCACATCACGTAACAGAAAGACAGGTACAATGGTTGGAAGGTGCACTTGTGGGATCCCCATCCCATGACAGGGCACTCCTCCACGCGGGAGACACGCACATCCTCTTCCAGAGCACCACAGGAAAGGCCTTTCCTTTGGGAAGCACAGGAATCTTGAATTCAGACCACCTATAAGCAACCTCTTAAATCACATGCAGGCACTGAAAAGCTATACAGCACATGAAAAAATATAACTTGAGATTCAGATATTGTGTTTGGTTAAGAAGCCCATAGTGCAACTTCTATGATCAGGAGGCCATCTTAAACTGGGGATGAATAAATGATTTTAACAAGCAACCCATAACCAAGAGCCATATCACCCTGCAACTCACAACTGGTAACCCACTGAAGCTCGGCAAGTGTGAGCCTGGACAGTACCTGGATGAGAGACCTCCTGGGGAAAACTAAGGTTGCTGTTGAAAGAGATATTAGAGAGGTCTGTAGGGGACACTCACCCCATGGCCTGTGTAGGTCCTAATGCCCCAGTATTGTGATAGGGACACTATACTGTTAAAAGGCGCCATCCCTCAGATGAGAAGTAAAACCGAGGTCCCGACTCTCTGTGGTTATTAAAAATCCCAGGACCATCTTTTCTCGAAAAGAGTAGGGGTGTTACCCCGGCATCATGGCAAAATTTCCCAATGGCCTTAACCAGTCATTACTCTGTTCTCTTCCCCACTAATAGCTGATGTATGGTGAGGGTTTTGGCGCACCATGGCTGTGATCGCATCATCCAGGTGAGTGCAACACATTGATGGTGATGGAGGAGAGTCCCCATTACCTGTAAAGCGCTTTGAGTGGAGTGTCCAGAAAA